CTGTAAATAAACTCTTCTCCTTCCAAAATATTTCCCACCCTCTATTTTATGGTGAAGTCTTCTCTGTTGGCTCTTTAGCACTTTCTCAGGAGACGCGGGCTTGATCCCTGGGTCGGGAAGATCCTCTGTAGAAGGGAATGGCAACCTACTCCAGTATTCTTACCTAGAAAATCCCATGGACAGAGGAACCTGGCGGGCTACAGTTCATGGGGTTTACAGAGAGTCAGACATAACTGCGGGAGCATGCAGGGACACACGTCTATGCTCCCAAATCTATTTCCGAAATTTACTCTAGAGTTGATCACCCTGTCCTAATTCTGTTTCGGGTTCGTTTTTGCATTTCTAAGACCCAGGAAAGGCCTTACTAAGTATTCAATAAGTGGTTAAAGGAACCTTTAGTACATGCAAATTTATGTGGGGAAAATGTGCCTGTGTATGGTTTAGAAGAAGGGTTGATTGTATTTAGATTAGTGTTAATCAAGCAAAGCTGCAGCTCTCCAGAAGTGAGCTGGCGGATTCATCTTTGAAATTTAACTCAAATCATTTAAAATGAAAAAAAGTAAAGGTGATTAAAATTTCCTTTTTTTCGCTCCAATCCTCCTACGTCGCTAAAAAATTTAAGAGTACCATCAGATTGACAGCTTCTCTCTATGGACCTTCATATACTTACACATGCGTGAGGACAGATGAGGATGAGCTAAGAGCCCTCCTCACACAGTTGATAAGAGGTAGTTCACACGTTGGGAGGTGTCTGCATTGCTGCATGGCTAGGAAGAGAAAGGGGAACCAAAATATTAGTGGATGTCAGAGCTTCCTCGATTTCATTAACAAATCAACAAATATAAAAGCAAAATCGTTATATTCTTTTCCTCACCAGAATTTACATTTTGAACAGTGGATGTCCAGTGATAACTCAAGGAATTAAATAACTTAATTCATGTTAGTGGACATTTATAGCTCATACACTTTTCTGTATGAATGTTATATAATAATTTTTAAAAGCAAAATGAATTTCTGTGTCTTAATATTATGGAATGAGGAAAGCTCATTTATAAAACATCCCAAATTAAATTTATCATTAATAATTATATATGTAGTAAAGGTCAGAGGAATTCTATATTAATAACTGAACTCCTGACAATTTCATTTCAGCACTACTTTTATTCAAATAGCATTTCTGTAGGAAATAACAGTCAGTAATCATATTTACAAATAGAGTATGAGAATAATTCTGTGCTTCTTGGATCTCCTCTCTAAAACAGAGATGCTTTAAAAGATACTTGTTATAATCAGTACATGAACTTAATTAATACCAGTCTCTCCCACCTATATAGCTTTCTGAGCCACTTGAGAAATAATGCAAAAGAGTAAGATGCATTAGGGTTAAAATATCACCTTTATTAGTTTTTAAGTTGATATGAAAGAATGTGGCTTAAATGTGAAGCAACAATATGTTTCTAATACTGTACCACAGAATTAGATAGACTGACCCACCTGGTCTCAACAGTTTTGAAATTCACAGACCTTCCCAGAGGGCAGTATGGAGGAGCAGACAAGAGTGTGTGTGTGTATATGTACATATATACACATATGTACTTCCATAGGCAGGCGCTCCCAAAAGGAAAGGAAGTGGAAGGAATGGGACTATATGTGTATCTGTGTCTGGATCCTCCTCCCAAACTCCGTAATCAGGTAAGATTGAATGGGGAAGGGTAGAGAAAAAGATTGATGATAAACATTAGTGACATCCAGAGACCGGAATACAAACTGAAAGATGCTATGCAAATTCATGTCCCCCAACAAGGATGGAAATATCAGGAGCTGGGAGCCAGTGATTCTCCGCTCCCCAAAGCTACTTAGTCGTTTGCTGATCTCTGGTTTATACTCTATCACTATTTTCAAGATCTCCTTCTCCACACCCAGTTGTCATAGGTATTATCGTTTTTCCCAACTGGACTAAAAGCTTCATGAGTGAAAGGAATAACGTATCTATACTTTTACCTGTATTCTCAGCGTCTAATACAGAGCCTGGCATAGAGTAAGATGCTCAAGTATTATTTAGTAACTGAATGAATACCAGGCATAGCTCAACAAATTCTCAAAATTACTGCACAGGAACCGCCATTATTGCAGCAGAAAAAACAGATTGCTCCCTTTGTGTGTGAGCTAGTTAAACTTGGCTCCCGATGGATCTAATTACTCTCTCCTGTGTCCCCCTCACACACACACACACATACACACACACACACACAGAGTAAAATATTTATGATGGAAGAACAGAATCCCCTATTGAACACAGCTGTCTCATGACTGGGTAGCCAGGAGGACTTTTAGGCTAACAGACAGCGGAACACATGCTGAAGAATGGTGGGCTCTGTCTGAGGTGATGGTATATGAGCCTGTTGAAGATATGAGAAAAATTAAGCAAATGAAGAGAAAAAAATTTTACCAGGCAACAGCTTTTTGCATTTTTTTCCTTTTATATAGATAAATTATTTTTCAAATCGTAACACTTTGGGAGCACAGCAGGGAACAGCTGTAAGTATTTAACGTTCAAATCTATTTGTGACATCCAGTGAGACGGGACAGCAGAGTTTTTAACGATTGATTTTGCAGTCACATAGATCTCAGCTCTGACCTCTTAGCAAGTTACATGATCTTAGTTAAGCCACTTCATCTCTTAACGTTCAGTTTCTCATCTGGAAAATGAGAAAAAAACAAAGGCTACCTCATAGAGTGGCTGTTAAGAGTTCAACTGACAAAGTAGATGTGATTCATTTAAGAAAGTGCCTGAAACACACCAAATAACTGGTAGCCATTGTTATTTTAAATCTCCAAAAGCTTTGCATACTGTAAATCACTGAGTAACTGTAAGAAATTATTATCATTACTATTATTGTAGGAAATTTCACGGCTGTTTCACAAAAAGGCAACAGCAAAATAGAGGCTGTTTTGTTCCATATCTCTATTACACAGAAGCCAACAGCTGTGTATTAATGGCTGCCTTCTTCCCTGCTGGGATGTGCACTGTATTATAATAGAGAAGGTTACATCCTCATTAAGCATATAAGGTGTGTTGTGGAGCAGAAAGGCACATGTCAAATGTGCTCAGCTGTCTTCTATCACGTGTCATCTTGTCACGTTTAAGTCAAGAAATCCATATAAATTCATAACAATTTAGGTGTTGTGATTTTTTAATAACTTTTTTAAATATTTCTTTTAAAACTGGTTTTCATTTGATATCACTGAGGTTAAATGCAGGACATTGTCATTGCCATGTACTTCAATATATAACCTGTAATTAAGATTTCAAGTGACTCTTGTTCTGAAGTACATTGCCTCTGCTTTGCATAATGCACAATGTATTCATTGTTGTGGCTTCCTTTGCATAAATCAATCTTATTAATAACTAATTCATCTTCTTGCTTTCCAGAGTCTTGAATCAAATTAATTCTCCGAAGGAGGAAGTGTCAGGACTCAGGCAGCTAGGGAGATCTGCATAATTCTAGTTCCGTCTTTCAATAAAAATTCGTACTACAGATGGTCATGTGATTTATTCGCAAATTTTAACTCTGCTGCTTCTCTGTTTCTCTAGGAAACAAGAACAAAAATTTGTATCTCCATGTGATGTGCAGAGAATTGGAGGAAAAGGGTTAAAGGAGAAGAGTGGGTGTCAAAGCTGTGACAATGAATCCCAGTGGATTCCCCTAATGATATTCTAGAGGGAACCTCAGTTTGAAAAGAAGGAAAGTGAATATTTTATCATTACGGAAACTTGAAGCAATGAACATTTTATTCTGTTAGCATAAAGTTGAGGTGTCACCATGCTATTCAAAGTGGTAGACTTCCACTGAGGAATAAGCTTGATGCTGGCCACTCCCACCCTAGTTGGTGACACAGAATGGACCTGTGGGACCCAAATGTAGAAGGATTCCCCCAGCTGATCTTGTTTAGACCCAGTTGGGTCTGGTGAGAAACCACAAAAAAAAAATCCCTCAGAAAACAAGGTGAAAATTGCTGAGAAGGACAGAGGGTCGCCCTCTTCATAAAGCTCCTTGGGAAGCTGATGATGACATCCCCAATCAAATAAGATATGAATTTCTTAACAAATCACCCTCTCTTATTCCTCACAGAAAATTATTTTTCTTCTGATCTCAACAACATGGTTGCTTCTTCCCAGCCAAGTCTACTGCAGATGTCAATTTTCCCTCCACCTAGAAAATAACTTGCATTGTGTCAGTGTTCCTCAATCTCCTCTTTAGAGTTTACCAATAAAACAGCCCTGGATACAGAAATATTTCATTTGCACAAAGTGCAAGCTAACTAAAAATCAGGAAAAAAAAAAAAAGATCCATATTAACACTTAGTACCTTCCTCTACTCCTATCTTCCACATTTATAGTGGACCAATAATGGAGTTTAAGGGTAGATATTCTTTGAAATCTTAGAAATTTATCTAGCAAACATTTATTAAGCTCCAATTGTACCAGATTTGAACACTAGGAAGGCAAAGTCAAATTTATTCATTTATGCATAAAAATGTTCTGAGTGTTGAACTTCCACTTTGGGCTACGGTGGAGTAAGTGGTATTGGAATTATTCTCTTACCAAGAACAACTCTAAAGCAGGACAAATAAGTGGAAGAACTTTTTTCAGGAATTGTACAATAGCAGTGGTTTGATGCTTGAAAGATAGGAAACACAAAGTGAGCTGCACATTCACTACAGTTTTCTTCCTTGGGGCAGTTTCCTGACCACCCAGAAATGTGGAACCTGGGAGGAGGATTAAGATTTCAGTGATCTGAGGAAGCAGAGTACTTTGAGGCTGCTGAGGTGGCTGGAGGGCACATGTCATGGTAGAGCTAAGAGAAAGCAGTACAGAGGGGTCCCCAGATATTTATATGCCGAGACCCTGGAGTACTTGTCTGAGTGCTGGACAGACATAAGCAACATAAGACGCCAAGGGTGTAGCAGAGAACAAGCGCTGGGTGTCAGATGGCTGAATGGAAATGCTCCCAGGCTGTTCTTGGAGGAACTGGAATCCAGCCATGCCAGAGATGAGAGACCTTGCTGAGCATTGGGCTTTCAAGTACCACCCAGAAAGGCTTACGAGTAAGTAGCACTCCCAAGAATAAAAGTCATGACCCAGGACAGAACCAAAGCAAAATATACTATACCAAAAGGATTCACCAGTAAAGTGACCTGCTTGCCAGAACAGAATTTAATATAATTCTGACTCCTCACAATTTGTTACCTAAAATGTCCTGCAGATAATACAAATTCCTAGTGATGGGGGAAGGACAATGTGACCCACAATCACACAAAATAGCACATGATAGCTACAGACTCCAAAATGATCCAGATGTTGGATTTAGCAGATAAAGAGTCTTAAAATCTACTGTAAGTTTGTTCAAGAGAATATGGACAATGATAGAATAAAAGGATGGAGAGTCTCAGCAGAGAAATGGAAAATATATTTTAAAAAGAACTAAATGGAAAAAGATCTAGAAAAGAATTAAAATATAAAAAAGAACTAAATCCTGAAAACAGATAAATGGAAATTATTCAAATTGAAAAACCAAAATAAAAAATACTGGAAAAAAAATGAACAAGAGTCTTAGTAACCTGTGGTATAGTATTATTTCCCTTGATGATTGAGTCCAGGAGAAAGAGAAAAAGAATAAGGCAGAAAAAAGTATTTTAAGATGCAATGGAAAAAATGTATCCAAATTGGATGACAAAATTAATTCACAGGTAACCTCCAAGCAGGATCACTGGGCCCTGTAAGTTTCGAACTACTGAAAATCAAAGATTTAAATAAAATCTTAAAAAGTATCCAGAGGAAAAAAAAAAGAAATGTTACATACAGGGACATAATTAAAACAACTAACTTCTGGTTAGAAAAGATTCAGAGGCCAGAAGAAAGTGAAACAAGATCTTTAAAGTGACAAGAAGTGTATTAGTTTGCTGGGGTTGCCATAACAAAGTACCATAGACTGGATGGCTTAAACAACAGAAATTTATTGTCTCACAGCTCTGAAGCTAGAAGTTCAAAGCCAAGGGTTGGTTGGTTCCTTGACAGGGTTGATTGTCTCTGAGGACTATGAAGGGAGGTCTCTTCCAGGTCTCTGTTTTTGGCTTGCAGATGACTGCCTTCTCCTGGTGCCTCTTCACATTCTCTTCCCTCTGCGCTTGTCTCTCTATCGACATCTCCTCTGTTTTTAAGGACACCACACCACACTGGGGTGTGTGTTTTAGTCACTCAGTCATGTCTGAATCTCTGCAACCCCATGGACTGTAGCCTGCCAGACTCCTCTGTCCGTGGGATTCTCCAGGCAAGAATACTGGAGGGGGTTGCCATCTCCTTCTCCAGGGGATCTTCCCCGCCCAGGAGTTGAAGCCGGGTCTTCTGCATTGCAGGCAGATTCTTTCCCATCTGAACCACCAGGGAGCCCGTCATATTGGATCAGGCTCCCCTGATCTGTCTCCCCTGACAGACTTTGACTTGATTACATCTGTAAAGACTCTATATCCAAATAAGGTCAAGCACTGAGGATGAGAACTTCAACAAAGGAACCTGAAGCAGAGAGGAGGGGTGGAGAGACACACAAATCAACCCATAGCAAAAGAACATTTAAAAAACCTTGCAAAAAAAAAAAAAAAACCTTGCAAACTATAGCTATTTTTTTTCAAACTTTAAACTTTTTATTTTGTATTGGGGTATGGCCAGTTAACAGTGTTGTGGTTGTTTCATCACCACAATATTGTAAAGCAATGATCCTTCAATTAAAATAAATTAATTAATTTTTTAAAATGTTGTGGTAGTTTCAGGTGAACAACAAAGGGACTCAGCCATACATATACATGTATCCATTCTCCCCCAAACCCCCCTCCTATCCAGGCTGGCATGAAACACGGAGTAGCGTTCCATGCACTATACAATAGGTCCTTTTTGGTTATCCACTTTGAATATAGAAGTGTGTACATGACCTTCCCAAACTCCCTAACTATCCCTTCTGCCCCACAACCATGAGTTCATTTTCTAAATCTGCGAGTCTCTTTTTGTCAAATTATAGTTCTATATCCAGTGAAAATACGCTTCAAAAATGAGGGTAAAATTAAAGTGTGTGTGTGTGTGTGTGTGTGTGTGTGTGTGTGCTTTCAGATAAAACTCAGGGAACTTTTCTGCAACCAGACCTTTATTTTCAGAAATGCTAAACGAAATTCTTTAGATTGAAGGTATAAGGTAGTAAGAATAGGGAAAAGAAGTCCAAAATGGCGGTGGCTAAAAGACAAGGAAGAGAAAAGCCCACAAAAATAGAACAAAGGAAGGTCCGAGGACTGGAGTGAGGACCTCAGATAGAACAAACAGCACTCCTGGCTGGCCCAGTTTACACAAGGCAGGCCCAGTGGGAGGAAAAAACATATAAAAAGGAGCCAAAGCAGGCTCTCTGTCTCTCCCCTGCACGCTGGGGAGCTCTTCTCTTCGCGTCTTTGGATCCACATGCCCTCACACCTTGAAGATGGGTTTTCCTGCTATCTTCTAAATAAAATAAAGCTATGACACTGAGCTGTAACACTGATTTGTCTAAGAGCTATAACACAGTCCATTTGAGACATGAGAGCTATAACACGGTCTGTCCCAAGACCTGAGAGCTGTGACATGCCGAGGGCTTTAATGTCCGTCACTCCAAATCTTTGTTGTGACGAGACAGAACCGAGGAGCATACACTCACCTGACAAAGGGAAATGCTACATCAAAAAGTCAGATCCACAAAAAGAAATGAAGAACTCCAGAAATGCTCCATTCATACATAACTATTTTCTTTTTTCCTAGTTTCTTTAAAAGATAATGTTTATAATATACATAGAAGAGAAATACAGGACGAGAGCACCAAAAGAATCATACTGTTTCAAGTCTCTTAAGTGGTAAAGTGGTGCGATGTTGGTTCTAAGCAGGCTGTGATAAAATAAGGATGCAAAACAACCCCTGGAGCAACCACTAAAAGAATACAACAGAGTTAGAGCTTAAAAGGAGGAACGATAGAATTGCAAACATAATAATAATAATTAAAACAAAGGAAGGCAAGAAAGGTTGTGGAGATGGGACAAACGGAAAACTAGCAGAAAGCAGGGGGCTTAAACCTCACTGTAGCAGACGGGACTTTCCATAGATCGCCACAATAATATCTCCCATCTTCTGCATGGTTCTGTACTCATTTTCACTTTCCAAGCCTACTGTAGTGAATGCCACAGACCAGGTGTCTTACACAACAAAAATTTCTTTCCTCCTGATTCTGGTTGGCTACAAGTCCAAGATCACCATGTCAGCAGGATTTCCTTCTGCGGCTTCTTCCTTTGGCTTGTACATGCTATCTTCTCCCGGGATATTCATGTTGTCTTCTTCCTCTGTGCGTGTCCCTGCCCTAACCTCTTCTTATACGTGTTAGCTGCTCAGTCATGTCCAACTCTTTGCGACCTCCATGGACTGTAGCCCCCCACGCTCCTCTGTCCATGGAATTCTCCAGGCAAGAATACTAGAGTAGTAGCCATTCCCTTCTCCAAAGAATCTTTCCGACCCAGGGATCAAACCCAGGTCTCCCGCATTGCAGGCAGATTCTTTACCATCTGAGCCAGCAGGGAAGCCGTCTTATAAGGGGTACTGGTTATATTGCAATAGGGCACGTGCACAAGATCACATTTTACCTTAATCACCTCTTTAAAGACCCTATCTGCAAATACCTTCACATTCTGAGGGGTTGAGGGTTAGGATTTTAACACATGAATTTGAGGAGACAGCTTGGTCCACAATAGGGCCTTTGCCACTCACCTCAAGAGGCAGAGTTGTGGGCGGTGGGAGTCACAAGAAGCTCATACTCAAGGTCCTATGACAAGGAGCAGAAGGATGTAGCATGAGGAGGGGAAACGACTGCGAAAACAAGCTCGAAGAGCATTTACCCAAGTGTATTCTGCAGCATTAGCACCTACTGTGCTCTCAACACCGTGCCACCAATAGAAGTTAATCACGGGAATAGCAATAGTAGTCATGTAAAAATCTTTTTACTGATAAAGCTGCTTGAATGTCTGCCAAAATGCTCAAGTTTATCCAAAGAGAGGCACTTTTGGAACATTAATAAGACCATGATGCATCTGTCATTTTGAATTTCTTTTGAATATTGTTATGACCCTTCACCTTTGATCTCCTACCCTGCATCACCTGGCATAACCATTTCATTTTTTAATTCAATTTCATTTTTTGATTTTGGTGCACAGTCTGTTGCATTTCATCTCTCAAAGTGTAACATGCTGATTTCCTCAAATAGAGATACCCCTTTGAGTGAAAAATTTGCAAAATGCTCTCTTTGTTGTGTGTATTAAAATCTATTTCAGTTTTAAAAATGGGAAAAAGTTTAAAATGAGACAGATTTATTTCTCCATCCCTTTCGATCTGGGTAGGTGCTGCTACAGCTTTGACCAGTGGATTATGACAGAAGTTCTGATTTCAGGCATTGCCCTGATCTAACCTGACTGTGTGCTTAAATGAAATATTACTATGCAGTAAAAAGGGTTGAACTACTGGGACCTCCCTGGCAGTTCAGTGGTTGAGGCTCCACTTGTTTCCTCTGCAGGAGTTGTGGGTTCAATCCCTGGTCAGGGAAATTAGGATCCCACAGGCCACAGCCTGGCCAAAAAGACTTTTTGAAAAAGGGGTGGGGGGTTGAACAGATAAACTCAACTTTGATAAACTTCAAAATCAGTATGTTGAAAGAAATCAGAAACAAAAGAATACATACTCTAAGATTTGGTTTATGTGAAGATCAAGAACAAGTTAAAGTAATTTAATGTGATAAAAATTAGAACAGCAATTCCCTCTGTTTGGGGGAGAGTGATTTGACTAGAAGGCCTCAGTGAAGGAAATATGATGATGGTGATGGGATTATCTGTAGCTTGGTTGCTTGCATAAGTAAAGATATTTATTAAGACTTATTGATTTATATGCTAAGATCTGTAAACTTCACTGTTTGTATTAGTTCCCTACTCTGCTGCAAGGAATTGTTACCAGCTTACTGGCTTAAGACAAACAGACTTACTATTTTATCATTCTGGGCATC